TATCTCGGCAAACAATTTTGCTACCCTTGTTACGTCGGCAGTAATAACTTCATTGTACGTTGACGCTAGTAAACATTACATACTGTATACAACGGACGAAACATAACTAAACAGTCACGGCTCAATTCATAGGTGACGGCGTTTTACACTCACACACGAACTCTGTTTGCTGTTACGAAGACATCAAGTAAATTTAATATGATATTATAAAGAGAATGTACAGTCTGACATTTCAAAATTTGACTTGTTTTTAAATGAAAATGTATTAACAATTTAAGACGAAACATAAACGAATAATTGCTATAGACTAATTAGTTTTATTTAATTCAGAAAGACTCAGAATCGTTAAAAATAAAACATCTAGAATGTAATGTCTTGGAGCACGCCCCCATTCGTCTTTGTCCCCGAGACACCTGCGCGACCTACAATTATCAATGTAATTGGCTATTCAAAGTTAGCGCGATGGGGCGAGCACGGCATCGTTAATTAATAGAATCAAGTGAACATTGAAATTTTCGCTTCACCAGTCTAAAGCTACATGGAAGCAATTTCGAGTGAATTTGTGTGGAATGCTCCGAATGGCTCGAGTAAATTGCAAGAATTCATCTAAATTATTTAAGTTGAATTACAACGATGTTTTGTTTTGATAAACATTCTTTCATTAACAAGGTTAGTCAAAAAAACTAGAACAAGAAATTGTTTAAAACTAATCGGCTATTAAGTAACACATCAGAATTAACATATTTGTATTGGATTGATATAATATATTATATAGAAACAGATTTTTTCTTTCATCCCTTTGATCCTACACTCATTTTCCAGAACAAATTCTAATAATTTCAATAATACCCTCATAAATCGTTACCTGATAATATCACAAACAATGTTTTGATTGATCGTAGGTACAGTCAGGTGCGTTGAAAATCCATTTGCAAAAAGTCAGTGATTGATGCGATCCAGTTAGTTGTTTATGTGGATTTTTCCACTTGCAGATGATATTGACTTAAATTTTATTTCTACTGTTTTTGTTTTTATTGAAATATTGTGAAACGACGAAATATTGATGATTTTTTTTGTAATAAAAGAGCAGTTTAACGTGCAATGGTAAAATATTTTAAAGTATACGTAATAATATTAATTGCAGTCAATAACAACATTCCATTATTATCGTAAATAATAAACAACAAACTTCTAATACTAAATTGTTCTTAGAATATTAATTAAACGAGAGTTAAAATGAACATTTCACTAAGTTTGTATGGGCTTGTCATTTTATATTTCACATAAGCTTCAACACTTGACTACGAAGAGATAATTGTATGAAATCAATTGTAATTAAAAAACTTTTCTACCTTTATTCTTGAGAAAAAACAAAGACAGGAAACAAATGTTCGTACAATTACTCACCATATATTAACATCCATTCAAAGGATTAAAATGCTTAAACCAAAAACCAGCTTACAATTTTAGAGTTTAGGATCAACTATAATTTAATAACTATTAAAGGGATAGTCTAATAAGAGTGGACGGAAACGGGACGGGTCGGGAAATGGGACGGATCGGGACAACGGGGCAAGACGAGACCGACAGATTAAACTAAAACCCACTGAGCAGTTTTACAGTTAAGCTTTGCCAGGAAGTTACAAGTTCAGGTATGATTTAATATAGTCTAGACTTTTTAGACTGTTTAAACCGCTAATCACTTATTTTTAATGACCCGTTTTAATGCAATTATAGTTAACCGGTAAATAATATGACGGGCCTAATTTCTATTCATATTTATGTATGTAACAAACACTAGTTAGTAAACCGGCGGCGGACTCTGTCGCGCTCATTATTACCAACTTCAGCGTGAAATTATCACAATTTAGCCGGTCATTAGCGTGGTCGCACGGGAGAGATATCCCGGCCGAGTATAAATCTGAATTTAATGACCACGGTTCTGATATTGAACAATGTTTCTGTACGTGCCGCTTTGTACGTCCTTATTAGACCTTTGTTTCTTAGGGGGCTGTTCAAACTCGGAGACAACAAACAGTTTCTGATCATTTACACCACGGAATAAATTTTGTATTAATAAAGCAAGCAAGTCTCTTTCCAGTAGTGGAGTTTAAAAATCTAGCAGCTAAATGTGATTAAATAATGTTTAACTTCATATATTGTTAGAAACAATAGCATGTCATATCACTTATACCATAACATGTCTTAAATGAAGGCAGTGAGACCTCGAAAGCTATTAAATATAAAGAGGAACTAACGAATTGAAGCAATCGTAATGAATTTATAAATAAGCTAGTTGATATCAGTGACAGGCGAGGCCAAGGGGAAAAGTTGAGTGTCATTATTGATGTAACCTTTACAGCTAATATAATTTTAAAAGCCTTATGAACGTCAGTTGATATTAATTATACAGGTTCAATATCGCTCATAAACAGATGGCTACTCGTTCACTCTTTCTCTGAAAGTGTAATATTTTCATGATGAATATACAAAAATTCTCAAGAGTGTACATGACTACCTCTTCCCAATTTCATGTTCTACCTCGGGGACAGTGAAAATAGATGAAACATTTTATATACATCTTTATCTAAACAACACAAGACGCAAACATTTATAAAACATCTTGCACTATCGTAAGATTGAACATGTTTTTAACAACATTTAAGTTAACAATGCTAATAGGTAAAATCGAATAAACATGAGAAAAAAACTTAATTACTTTGAAGCAACATTAAAGCTTTTTCTTAGATAGTTGTAGCTATATATTTTCTTTCGATCATATTATTTAAACAATTTCGATTAAAAAATATATGAAAGCCATAAATTTCAAAATTTGTGACGAGCCGTGCGTTTATATGAAAAATGGAGCATAATATTGAATTAGACTCGTAAATATGATACTAAATAATTAATAAATCATATCAAAAAAAGTGATACGTAATTTATCATTAATTTTATAATTAGTTAATATTAATTTTAATGAAGTTTTATATCCAATCCGGTCGTCATTATAATGTAATTAATGATGTTCTAATTATAAGGTGTTTGTATATTCATATGCATGTATATCCGTATGAAGGGTGCCTTAAAATATTTAAATCATTTGAGACCACATAATACATACAATTTTCTTCCTAAATGCCTTAAAATAGATTCATTCATACTTTAATTGGTTCTTCTAACTGTACATTTAACCAAAAGTTAATTGAAAATTGTTTGTGAATCTTAAGAGAATTAATGAGAAATTTATAGGAGATAAATTTAACTATGTTATAATATGATTGTAAACAATATAATCAACGAAGAATTCTGAAGATGTAAAGTGATACATGGAAACAGCATTGAGCTAAGATGTGGAGCGGTGGAAAGTGTGTAGCTTGTTTTTGTGTTCCAGGGGGTGAGGCGAGTCATCGCTGGTAGGCGGACTAAGGTAGATTATGTTGTGCGTGCCATAGGCTGTTCTGTTATCACTGTCTCAAATAGCGCGCGAAGTGAGAGAGTTCCACGTCGAATCTACATGAGCCTTGCTTTATACAAATCTAACATTATTATACAGCAGTTTCACCACGTTTATACCGTTGGATTGTAACAAACTTGGGGTTTAATTGTATTGATGAATAAGTTCATTCATCGAAATTTTCGAGTAAGATTTTGGTGTACTTATATGTTATTTTCTTCACATGTCCAATGGCGTTAAAATCTGTGTTACGAACTAACGCCACCTTGACGACTGTATTTTTTATGATAATGGACAGAAGCGGATTCAATTTAAACGACAGTAATGAAATTAATTATCCGCGCGAAAGCCTTAACAGGCTTTGAGTAAAGTTTGTGGTGAAATTTGCTATTTTTTGTTATTTGAATTTTTCTGTTTAATTTTTCTTTTTTTTTTTTGGTGTATATAAATGAACGACTAATTTTGTTTTCGATAGATGTCTGACTGCGGTGCTTCAATCTATTTAATGAACATAATTTACAATTCCATGATACATATCTTCAAATAAATTGGAGCACTATTACAATTAGTGTTATTATGATTTGTGACTCCATACATCCGAAGGCTCACTCCTCAGTAGATTCGACCTCGAACATTGCAAGGCTCACTGTGCACTTAGTTATCGTCGTGCTGTAAAAGATATTTTATTTTCGTATTCATTTGGAGACGTAATTAGTGTATTATTGTTATTTTGTCGTTAATTTGTTCAAATGGCGTTGATTTTTGTATAAAGCCCAATGCTAATAAGCCCAAATGCCGCTATTAGTTAGATGTTTGAGGAGAGAACGTATTGGGTGCCGCGCTTTATCAGACAGATCTATGCTATAATGACGATCAAATAAAAATTCACACTTTAAAGGTAATTCAGAATTAATTCGAGGATTCCGTAGTTTGCCTGAATACGCCCCTAACCAGTCCCTAGAAAGTTTAGAAACATTTACATGATCCTACGGAACCCTCTGCGTTTGACGAGTCACCATTTAGTGTAATGTGCTAATTATGTGTTGGTCTGGATTTGGATTTTGTTGTTTCATTTTGACTAAAACTGTGTGTTATGTGTTTTATAGAAGCTGTTGTTTTGTGTCATGATAACGGTGAAACGCGTGCCGGGGCGGCGGCGGCGGTGGTAGCAGGGCGTTGGTTGTCCGGAGCTCACAGAAATTTCATAACATCCACACTTTGAACCAAATTTTTCAATATATGTATAGAAATAAATTAAATAATGAAAAGACATACATAATGATCGATTTCCTGAGCCCATATAGCACGACGACCAAAGCCTTGTCGAACTTTCGAGCCATGATTCAAATCTGTACAACTAAAACGACTAAAGCGTGACTCTCAAGTCATCCGTCACTCGCACGCGCCGCACTTCGACTCTGGGGTACTAATTGGCACGGTCTAGTTTAAGTCCGCCGCTCCACGCACCGCCGCTGGCCTTTTGTGGTGTGGCTCAATGTACCCCCGTGTGGTTTCCCCCGCTAATGCTCAGTTTTCCTCACAGATCGCAAGCTGTTCGTTGGCATGCTCAGCAAACAACAAACAGAGGAGGATGTGCGCCAGTTGTTCACTCCGTTCGGTACAATAGAGGAGTGCTCCATACTACGAGGACCGGACGGTGCGAGTAAAGGTACGTGGACTTCTGTTGACTTTACTAACTTATACCAATTGAGCATTTTAATTAACCTATTATGTCTAGTACAGTTTTGAGTATCGCCGAATGATATGTATTTTTTATATATTATCCGTTTCCTCATGTTACCATTCAATTATTATTTATAAACGTATATGGCCTCCTGAATGCTTCCTGAGCGTAATATTCGAGGAGCAATCAGACGTAAGAAGTTGATACGATAAATTTCACTCGCGCACCAATTCTGTTGTCGTTTTACGTACGGGAGCTGAAAATTGAAAACCCAATTTACTTTGACACAAAATGGAAAACGCCTAATAAAGACAGTGGGGTCAATGGAAAGGACGCATATCATGGAAAAGACGCAGATTCAGCGAACGTGAGCTATTTAAATACGATAAAACCTTCATTGGAATTTATATAAAATTGTTTAGAAATTTACCTTCTATTTTCGGATAACGTTATTTAAATGTGTATTTAGGCGAATAAAACTTGTATCTATAAAAGATGTTATATAAAACTTAAATAAAAAGCAAAGATCGAATTGAATCCGCCGATCTTATCTTTTTGGTGTTGAGTGTAAAACTTCTCTTGCTACGTCAATTCGTTCGTAGCTATTATCGGCTACGAGCCGTAGCGCAGTTCTACGTAATGTAGTAATATGCTACGACGCGATGTATATTGTGTTACAATCAATTGAAAGTTTTCTAAGGGCAAAAACTGTTATACCTTAAATGGATTTGTACTTTGTTCTTCAATATTATTCCAGTAATAGACGTTTCTTTAATGAGACAAACGTTTTAATAGCACATAATCCGCAAGAGAATTCATCATCTACAATTCTAATCATTAGTTAAGCTGTTCTAAAGTTACCAAAAATGATCTAAGTCCCCAACAAATGTTTACAAGTAATTCAAATTGAAAGAGCCACGGCCACGTAATACGTCATAGCGACAGCCCGTCCGTTACGCAACTTTAATTTCATTTTGTTCTCGCTTGAATTTCGTTGGATTTTAATTGAGTTTTAGCTCGTAAAGTCGGATAACGCGCCGCGGTTTGTTAGTTGCCCAAGCGCTCTTTATGTACATTAACATTTTTATGCTTCGACTGTCTGTCTTTATATAACGATAAAGTTATTAACAAACGTACAGGACGCTGAGATATCGTTGCATTAAAGAACGTTCTTTATGATCTCCTAACCATTAAGTTTAACGTTTTAATTGAAAATTAAGTGAAATTTCAGTCTTTGATGTTTCGAAATGAGAAAACGTAAACATTCTTAGGCATCTCGGCCGCGCCTGAGAGTACAGAACAAACTTTTATTCTAATTTAATTCGCATTAATTACGATCGTCCAAACTGTTACGTTTTTAATAAGCGTTTTGCTTTTTTTTTTGTTTGCTTATTGTTATAAAGGAGATTTTAATTACTGTTCGGGACATAACAATTCCTTAAAGCATAATACTAACTTCTTAAAAAAAAATGTTTTCCGTTTCGAGAAACTAATTAAAATTAACAAAAGGAAGTATTAAAGCGAACAAATGTTGCCGTTCTGAAGTAAAGCCTGTGAATTTATTCCATCGTAACTCAATAATTACACCAACTAAGGCTGTAACCATAAATAGTTCTATATCAGTCCATAATTCCTCGCGAGCGCCGCAAAGTACTAGCGTATTTTACCTTTACAATTAAACGGGAGCGAAATCACTTTCTCCGAGTAACAGAGCCCGGTAAGGGTCTATAAAAGTCTCTTTAATCTGCCATTCCTGACGTTATCACCAGTACTCGCAGCGCGGCCATCCCGTACTAAACTCCTTCATCGATTTGTCCGAACTAATGGAAACACAATTCATATACAAGAATAACCTGATAACGAAAACTATAAACTATATTTTGGCTACCTGAAGATACTCTAATGAAGAAAAAATCGACATTGATTTGTTTTAATTAATAAACGTATATATGAGTCTATATTACTTCATGATTTTCTGCGAATTTCATAGAAACAAACATAAATTCAGCTCAGGTTATTCTGAAGACTGTACCAGGAAATTATTGATTGATCTTTACTATCTAACCTGGGATAAACTTAGGTATAAATGTAGGTTTCCTCGGATATATAACATCATCAATGGCATCAAAATTTATTTAAGAATGGTAATTGCATAGCAAAAAGCTGTGATTTTAGTGAGTTGCTTTTAAAATAACACACCCAAAAATCCGCTGCGGCTCCACTAGTGTTATCGTTTCGTCCAACCGTAATAAGGGTGCAGGTCACGGCGTATAGCTATCGTAAAATTGCCGCAAACTCGCTCTCTTTACAGCCCTAGTAACGGCTAAGTCGTAAAATATCGCCAATTTACTTCACACTTAGCGACGACTCACAAGCTCGCCTGACGTATTGTCTGCTCACATAACGTATGATAATGGCTGCACCACAAAATCCTGTTATAGCCATGTTTTTTTAGTCCGAACTTTAGCTCCGTTTACGTGTTCCAAGATAAAACCTGAACATACATATTTAGCATTGAATTTATTTGGTTACGTAATAATATGTGAATAACTTAACAGTAACTTCTAAGTTTTAAAAGTTATTTTTAAGTTACAAACTTCGCAGCACTTAATGTATATTAATGGATTTAAAATCTATTGTTCGATGTGGTAATGTTCAGTTATTATTTTATTACTATATCAAAATGTTCACAGAACAATAATTTTATGAATCCAAAATTGTTTATATGAATGTACTAACGGTAAGCAGACAGCCCTTCCATAAAAAACAAGTGTAAAGACCCATAAAAAGTAGTATCAATCGATCCCTATCCACATTACAAGAATGGCCCCACATAACAAATAACACCCAACTTGCAACCCCATCGCTTCCTCAACATTCGATTCAGAACAAATGGCTTACGAATTTTGTAATTTGCAGTATAGACCCGTATCCAAAAACGCCTGTGAAACTCTGCGATCCAATGTTTTGATACGCTACGCAACATAATCGCTAGAAGGCACTGCCTACATTTATTATTGTCCTTTGTAAGGGAAAACGAATGCGGAACTAGGTTACTGGGATGCGTAGGTTCGGTAGGTAGGTAGGGATTCACGGATGTCAAAATTTATATCAAAACACGGAAATAATTTTAGCGATTATTAGGAACGGTTGTTTTTTATCGTTGCACAAAATATATTTCTTCTAATTTAATTTCTTTTTTCATACTAATAAATAATGACTCAAAAAACTGCCTTTTTAAGACATTTACAAGTATTTCTTAGACATTTATATTGTAAAACAATCCGACATTAATCAGATAGGAATCGTTTATTCTATAATAAACAGAATATTGACAACTCTCGATAAATTTCTAAGTGGCCGTATGTCACATGCAAAAGCCGAAAAGCTGAATATGTGGAGAGGTGAAATTGAAATCTCATTGGTCGGGACAAGGGCCGCGATCGCGTCGTTGTATTCCAGATATTTTATTGCCACCGCACCTTATCTACTCCAACTTCATACAGAACATCATTTATAAACTACTAGACTTTAAAATAATTGAAAATTTTCGACTATTATTTATTTCTATTGCAATTTTTCCTATGAATAATGAAGACTGTTCCTATTGAACAACTTAGATTTTTTCGTAAAACCATTTTTATTATAGATGAATAGAATATCAAATACCAGAAAATATTTAATGTCATCATTACAAAATTAATTCCTCGGTTTTATATAACTTGTAATATAATGAACGTAATAAATGATAATATATATAACCGTAGCTGGAAAGTTTACCCGCTCGTAATGAGGGACAATATAGCAGCTGTCAGCTCGTGTCGTGTCGTCGCGTCGTCACGTCGTCGTGTCGTCGTGTCCCCGTGACGCCCGAGCAACATCAACGCGGCTCTAACCACAAATCAACCGCGCACCGGTTGCCCTCGCAAAATTACAAGCGACGTTCAAATGCTTTTCTGGGTCACCGCGATTTGTGTAATTGTAGGCGTTTTAGTTTTAAATAACAACTACGAGTACTTAATCGGTACATACGTGTTAAAAAATACAATTAATATAAATAGTATTCATATATAAATATTATTTTGAGATCGTATATAAACTTGTTCGTCATTATGTTGAAAAAGCTGTCACGAGGCCGTGGTCCGTCAGCGTCACGTCAGCGTCACGTCATGACGCCAGTCAAGTGACGTCAGCGGCGAGCGAACCGCAAATCAACCGACGCCGCTATGACATATAATTACAATACGACACGAACAGTACTGCGGTCTACCACATACCTCTTTAAAACAACATACAATTTGCACTATGAATTTGTGTCAAATGTTTCTATTGAATACATTTAATGAATAACCTTAACCACCTTCCTTGTATGCTGTTCAGAGAATTTAAGTTTAGTTATTCCACTTAAAGTATTGTGTTGAGATATCATCAATCAATTCAATAGTTAAAAGGTCACGAACAAAGTTACTTTGTTTATACTACTTTAATAAATAATGATAAATTTAAGAATAAATAAGTATTAATGACCATGTATAAAATATATTGACACTTCAAATACAAACTATGACTTTTGCGGCTACAAACTAGCTGAAGCGTGATGACGCTACAAACCGCTGAGTAATTCATTTATAAATTACACTCAACAATCAACAGGTCGTGTTTTGCATCGTAAATACATTTATAAATAAGAAACATCCGTATGACTATGAAATAACTTTTTAAACTGAAACTTTTATTACAGTATCTCAAATTTTTTCGTTAATTTATCGCATATCGCATTACTAATGAGCACTTCGAATATATTTATTAAATTTCTATAAAAATTCCCATTATCCTGAAAGAGTTTTATTTGCATTGTATTTATATAGAAACAAAAAAAAATATTTTTATATTTATATAAGGTTTATCTTATTCAATTTCATATTTGTTCTGTTAATTACAAATACGTGAATATTATAATAGAACAATTATAAAAAATCAAGTTG